CCCGTGGTGGGCGCGGGGGTCCCGGGGAGGAGGAGGAGGAGGAGGTGACAGCCCGGCATGTGGCAAGGTGAGGGCTTTGAAGGTGAACCTGGGCAGGTTCCAAAGGGGCTGAGCTGCTGCAGCTTCCTTCTCCTTCCAAAAACCAGCACCACGAATCCCTTCTTGTGTAGTTTATCCAAAACCTCTCGGATGTGTCCCCGGGCTTAGGCTCTGCTGGAAGTGGTGCAAGAGGGAAAAATTTTGGTGTCCTTTGGATAAAAACTTGTGTCTGGCTGTGCTCCCCCGGCCCTGCGGCCGCAGCGATGCTTGGATGGATCCCCAAATGCCACGGGACGTGTCCGGCGGCCCGGAGCTCCCCCCGGGGCTGCGGGACCCCGGCGCTGCCGCTGCCCTCTGGATGCTGCCGCTTTGAATTAGGTCAGGCTTCATCCCGGGAGAGCTGAGCTCCCGCTGCGGCCCCGGGGATTGATGGATCGTGGCAGGAGCCCGGGCAGGGGGAGGAAGGAGCCGGGAGGGAGGGGGATGCGCTGCTTTGAAAGCGCATCCCGTAAGATCCACCGAGATCAGAGGAGAGGGATTGTCAGGGAAAGCTCCAAATAGACTCCAGGGCCTCGCACACCTCAGGGCTGTGGATTTCCAGGCGCTGGAAGGAGCTGCAGCAGCCAGAAGGTCTCGGCAGCATCGTCCATCGGGGAACTGCTGCTCGCTGCAGCTCCCCCGGTGAGGCCGTGCCGGGGTGAGTGGGATGGATGCTGGAAGTGGCCGGGTCCTTCCCCATGGCTGAGCTGCAGGGGCCACGCAGCTCGGGAAAACGAGCCGGGATTGGGAATGGCTGAGACGCGGGAATGAAGCAGAGTCCATAGAGAGGCAGGGCGAGGCACCCTGCCATGCACGGGGTGCTGTAGGGGCTTTGGGAGTGAGGCCTGGGGCTGGCTGGCTCTCAGCGTCCTGCTGGAGACATTCCAAAGCCCACCTGGCTCCTTGCTCCCCCAGCAGCACAAAACCCACTCTGGTATCCACCAGCAAAACCCCTGAGAAGAGCGATGTGATGTGGATGGAGCTGGGATCCCACACTGCCCAAGTTACATTCTGAGCTTGCAGAATTCCCTCAAAGCCGCTCCCTGATCTTGGGATAATGTGGAGCGCTCCGGGGACAGCGTCACAGCCCGGTTCTGTCACGGTGTTTTGTGCAGATAATTAGAGAGGGATTTCCAGCTCCCTTGGCTGGGTGAGGAAAGCGCTGCTGTGGTGCCACGTCCCCGCCAGCAGAGCCACTGCCACCCTAATTAACCACAGAGGAATGAGGGAAGTTAATGAAGTTGATATTTCAATTAACTCCCTGATTCTACAACCAAACACCAGGCGGGCAGTGCCCACCCGGGAGCTCCCACAGTGCCAGGCTGTGCTGTGCCACCTCCTGCTGCCTTGGCCATGTGAAGGGAATGTTTTAGGGGGAGACACTCCAGGCCACCAGCCCAAGCTGGGTCACAGCTTGTCTCTGTCAACCAAAGCTGGGAGCGAGGAGAGGAATTTTGGAGCTGGAATCCAGTGGAGAGGCTCACTGATGGTCATGGCTTTGGTGTGTCCACTCACAGCGAGGGGGGACACTGTCATTAGGGGTCTTGTGTCCCTGCCCTGTCCTGGGTGTCCCAAGCACTGCTCCTCAGCCCCAATCCTTCTCAGGGATGTTCTGGAAGAGGTGGGATCACGGGAGCTGTTTGCTGGCACCTCCAAAGCCACCATCATTCCCATTGTCCCGTGACCCCACCGAGCCCACCCAGCTGCCCCCACAAAAAGCCCTGCAAGGATCTTCATGTCCAAATGATCCTGTAAAGAGCAAAAAGCCCCCCATGATCCTGCAGGGCCACTGGCTGGGGACAAAGTGCAGGCTGGGAGGGGGGATAGTGCTGGGGCACCTCCACACTCAGTGCTGGCTCTCTGAAGCCTGAGCCAGCAGCAAAGCCTCCCCTGGGGCTGCACCTCCCTCTCAGGGTGCTGCTGCTCCAGCCAGGGCACCCAGCAGGGTCTGTCCTGCTGCCCCCCACCCTCCCCAGAGCTGGCTGCAGCAGCAGCAGCAGCGTAGCCCCCGCTGTACTCGCCGTCCCTGCCAGAGGAGAACTCCCATACAAAGCCAGGCTATTATTATCTCTGTCTTCCACCGTGTTAATGGTCTCTCAGGAAACAGACTTCTTTTTTTCCCTTTTTTTTTCTTTTTTTTTTTAGCTTTTAAATCCCACGAGTTCGGGAGCGGTGGGAGCTGAGAGCTGGGCACGGTGGAGTGGAGCACAAGGAGCACCGAGCCCGGTGCTGGGGAGACACTGTCCCCTTGAGCTGGCAGGGACACGGAGCAGGGCAGGACCCTCCACGGAGCAGCCCAGGGGTGTTCTGGTAGGAGCCAGGGGTGCTGGGCAGTTCTGGGGGTGCTGGGGGTGCCACTGAGAACCCCGCTCGGTGAGGGGCAGGGGGTGTCCGGGCTGCAGCGCTGGGCTGGGACATGGACAGGGCCCTGCAGCATCAGGGGAAGGATCCCTTGGAGTCACAGAATCACGGAATGCTTTGGGTTGGGAGGGATCTTAAAGACAATCTACTTCCAAGCCCTTGCAATGGACAGGGACACCTTCCCCTAGGGCAGGTCCCCTCTCAGGCCCAGCTGCTCATTTCCCTCTGCTCACTCCTCCTTTGGTTGTTTTGGTGCCTTGCCAGGCTCTGGCAGTGCCAGCAGTGCCCACGGGCTGGACAGCACCAGCCAGGCTCTGCCGGGAGCTGGGAGCACTGGGACAATCACCCCTTGATGATTTGGGGTTAACAAGTGGCTCCTGTAAAGGAGAAGCTGAGATTATATAAAGGGGACTGGAGGCAGCCGCAGCACAGGCTGTAATTAATTCCTGGCACCAAGGAGCTTTGAAGATCCAGGGTGGCTCGGTGCGAGGGTGAGGCAGCCCCAGGGTCCTTGGGATGAATTCCTGCTGCTGCTGCAGGGCTGCTGTGAGGGGAAGAGGGCAGGGAAGGGGCTGAGCGCTCCATGGACCCGCTGGGAGCTGACTCAGCACCGCGGTTACCCTGCAGAGCCCGGCCTGCTCATCCTTTCTCCCTCCCAAAATCACGGAGGGGGCACAGCTCGGAGCAGGTCACCCCATGGCTCTGGCAGGAGTGCAGCGATGAGGGGTGGTGGTGGCTGGTGGGGACAGGACAGCACTTGGCTGAAGCCAGGACAATGGAAACTTTGTGTTAGAACAACTTTTGTCCCCCCACCCCCAGGAAAGGCAGAGATTGCTGACTGTGCTCACCGAGCATCCCCACGCTGCGCTGGGCCGGCTCCATTTCGAGCTCATGCAGTGCTTGAATCGAGCCAAACCATGAAGTTTTAGAGGAGTCAGGGAGTCCTGCCCGCTGTCCTGGACCCCTGCCCGCAGCCCCAGCGCTCGCACTGGGACCGATGGAATATCCTGGTGCAGAAAATCCCCCGGCTTCGGCCGCAGCCCCGGCCGGCAGCTCCGGGCTCTCCGCCGCTCATTGCCGGGCTGAGCTTTATCCTCGCCAAACAAGCGCTTTCCCACATGAGCTCACCCCACAATCCATCCCGAAATAGGCTGGAAGGCGCCCAGCCCGGAGTGAGGGTCCCGGGAGACCAGAGCGGGGATGCTCCGTGCCCTGTTCCGGAGCTCTCCCAGCTCTGACAGCCGCTTCCCTGTCCCCCGGCAGTGCCGTCGGCGATGCGAGCCATGGCAGACCAGGCTGCGGTGGCAGCAGACGCTTCTCCAGCCCTGGCACCGTCCCCGGGCTCACCTCGGCGTGGGGACACGGAGGGACCATCGCCCCACGCCGGTGGCACCCGGGAGGACGGGGGCGGCCGGGATGGCTGCGGGCTCCTTCCTGCGGCGGACGGGGACACGAAGCGTCCCCCCTCGCCCCAGCCTGGGGAGATGCTCCTGGCCGACCTCCCCCGGGCCCCCCAGCCCCGGCT